AAACAGAGAAAGAATCCAGATTTATCATCTGGGAAAGAAAGACCTGATCTCCAAAGGCCTGCAACCACACAGCAGCACACAGCAGGTGGGCCATTCGGCACCAAGACACACTGAGACCACGCTACTGAAAGAGAGATGTTCCAAGTGCTGACAGGTGATGCCTTACACAGCCCGGCGGACTTGTCCTGAATCAGAGGGAAGCTACCCACTGGGAACCCCCACCGTCAGGAAGCAGTGCCCCTCACTTTCAGTAGACGATGCAGGCATGAAGCGGCGAGTCCTAGCGTACATCCCTGATGCGCTAAGGTTTGAGAATTCTGTCACTGACGACATGGGGCAAAGACAACTTCTGGACAAGGTGAGTGTGTTAGACGACTCTGGCTAGAAATCAAGCATGTCTAGTTGCATTCAGAACAGTGGAGTGGCTCCTTCTTGTCTGCAGATGTGAACCCGGGAGATGCCTACCTCTGCAGCACTTGGGAAGACAGGAAAGATGAAAAACTTCCAAACTGTCTCCCACCAGCTTTAAAAAACCAAACGTTGTCTAATCTAAACACTAATCTAGCTACCTGAGAAAAATGACAGAAATATGAACCAGACAGCAAACTGTACAAAGATATCTCAAATATTATTTCATTGACATGAAAATCAAAAATCCAAACAAGTTTACCCATAACTTAGAGACATCATGGAAAATTATAAACAGGATTCAGTGATGTCTCCAAAACAACTGGATAAAAGAAGGGTACAAAGAAGCGTCAATTGCCCTAGAAGCTTATTTCTTTCAGATACATCCAACAATCAATTTTAGACCCTAATTATGATTCATCTATGGCTTCTCTTCTAACTTCCACATAGCCAATCATACAGTGACCCCCCCCAATAATGAATCAGGTACCTGCAGGATACTACTGTTAAAAGGAACATGACAGGGACATGCCTACATCATGGTTGTCTTCTCAAAGAACTGGCTATCACTTCACCACAAGTGTTGATGGGAGATGGATGGATTAAATCTTGACACGCGTACTAGCTTAATAGGATTCACACCACTGCCAGGATTTCAAGGGTCTTTTTGGTGGTTAGCCATAAACGAGTGTTGGGTTTTTTTTTTTCCTACATCAACTGAAATGATTTTATGTTTTTTCTCTTTTCTCTGATAATAAAGTTTTAAAATAAAATGAAAGGATTTCCCTAACTACACCACACAATAGACTTGGTAAAGAAAATGCATGCTTCTGTAAGCATAATATATCTCCTTTATACTACATGATTTGGTTTGCTAATCAATCCTATATTATTTTCCTTCTTCATTGCTGAGATTAATTGGAAACTTTTCTTTCTTCCCCTGCCTCTATTGGTTTAGATCTGAAGGTTATAACAGCATCAAACCATATTAGAAAGCGGTGCGGTTTTCCCTGTTCCATGGGTAACCGTGTACAGTTGGGATTCTCTCCTCTCTGGGTACTCTAGAAAATGGTACCACAAGCATCCCACGGCTTGTGGCACTCTCCTTGCAGGACACACTGTGAGCTGTGGCCCACATCCCTCCAGCTGCACACCCACACGCATTTCCTACGTCTTCAAGTCTGGTTGTGCAAGTTCCCCGTTTTTCCTAAATAACTTCCCACTCCCTTTAGTAGAGGGGTTTCCAGACATTTCCTTTTAGCTATCGCTTTGCATTTTCCCAAATTAACACAGATCCCACTTTCCCAAGAATTCATTTGAACTCTTAAAATCACCGCTTTAGAATAGAGGGATAATTGAGCCATGTGCCTACAATTGAGGGCCTTTCGACTTGCCAGACGTGGCCAGGCCAGTGAACTCCGTAAAGAACAGGATGGTGACTTTCAGCATTTCCTGCTTGTGGGCTGTGTTGCCCTCCACTGGCCTCTGCCCTGGCAGCATTGTAGCTGTCACTGGCAGGACATGGACAAGCGTGCACAGCTGTTTTCCAATAAAACTTTACAAACTCAATGTGTGCATTTGGGACCTGACTGGACCGCCGCACTGAGAGTTTCTAAGTTACCTGTACTGTGACTCTCAGTGTGGGAGCCAGCAGCCACATGAAGCCACTGAAACCCAGCTTACTTGCACTGTCTTTTGGATAGTCACTGTCAATTCTGCAGAAATCTTGTGAAATCATGACGTTTCCTCCCTTCCAAAATATCCCAGCAGTGTATAAACCATTCACTGAGATAACTTCTTCCTGTATAGGCAACTGGTGTGGAAGCACTCGCTCAGTCAAGCCTGTGTTCTCAGAGTCAAATCTACATAAGTTAATGCCCCACAAGTATCTTTATTGATAGTACTCGTTGACAAGAAAGGAGCCCCAAGCAGGAGGCACTGAGCAGAGAGACAGTAATCTGCTCTCACTGATAAACAGGTCTGGGTGGCCTTGAATTCTCTAGCAGAAGATTCAGGAAGGTGTAATCTACTGGTCCTTGCTCTAATCTAACAAGCTATTAATATTCTGTATTTACCCTTCACCTTGGTTTTAATTAACATAAGATCACAGCCCAGAAAATTAACTGTTTATACCTTTCCCCCTAGAGATGCAGGAAAAAGGCTTGGGTCACTAAACCAGACCCAGAGAAAGAAATTCCTTCTCCCCTGGGTGCCAGCAAGTAAGTCAGATAGCTGGATGCAAATCAAACACCTTTGCCTTTCTCCCAGGCCTGCGGGTTACTATGGTTACCAGCGCTGTGTTCTCAGCCGCCAGGGCAAGAAGCTACAGTGCTCAAAAAGTGCCACAGCACTGCTACATTTTTCTACAATAATTAATCACAAACGTCCAGCCTAACTAGTCACACTTAAGACACGCAGTCAGTGCACGAAAACAACTTCTTAGAATTTTCTATTGATTCTTAATTAATCCTCCCGGTATCTGCTGGGGTGCTTCACAGCCACGCCCCCTCTGAGACACAAGGCACCTACTTGCCAGGTCCATCAGATTTTTATGATTCTGTGAAATGCATGCTTGTTAACTGTGTGTGGGGATGCAACCTGCAAACCACGTGGGATGGGAAGCAGAGCAAACAACAGCATGAAACATGGAAGGGGAAGCAGAAAGAAAGCTTTGGAGATGGCACAGGAGGAGTAAACGAGACACGATAAATGACTTGTGTGAGCGAATTTATTTTATTTATCCTCAGATATCTTTAGCCGGTTTTCGCCTGCTGTGGCAATCCTTCTGAACCCTGAGAGGATTAGTGGGGTTTACCCCCAACACTTACAGGACCAAGTTTGGTTGTCAGCACCAAGTACAACTCTGGCCACCTCTAAACACAGCTTGCATATGCCGACTCTGAGGAAGTATTTCCCAGAAGATCTCACCTCAGTGATGCTGGTCTCTTCCTAATGGCAGATTCTCCAACGCCAGCAGACCAACAGCCATTGTCCCAGCAAAACAAAGGATTTACCTTAGTGGTTTGGGTCTCTTGTTAACCACAGCTGATTCTTCAGCTCCAGCTGACTAGACACTACAGATTCTAAACACAAATGACCCAGCAGAGTTTTTTCTTCTTCCCTTTATCATCTGCGCTGCCTTCAACATTCTTACTTTCCACGCTCCTTCAGAACAGCCCACTGAGCTTTCCACACTCAGTGACTTTTCTAGCCCTAAGTTCCCTAGTCCTTCCATGATCCTCTCCAAACACCAACACGGCAATAGTCCATTATGCTGGCGCCTATCTGTCTTAGTTAGGGTTACTACTGCTGTGATGACACACATGACCAAAGGCAAGGGGGTGGTTTATTTGGCTTATACTTCCACATTACTGTTCACGATCAAGGGAAGTCATCACCGGAACTCAAGCAGGGCAGGAGCCTGGAGGCAGGAGTTGACACAGAGGCCATGGAGGGGTGCTGCTTACTGCCTTGCTCCGCATGGCTTGCTCAGCCTGCTTTCTTATAGAACCCAGGACCACCTTCCCAAGGATGGCACCACCTACAATGGGCTGGACCCTCCCCCACTGATCACTAATTAAGAAAATGCTTTAGAGGCCTTCTTACAGTCTAATCTTTTTTTAAGTATCAACTTTTTTATTTTTTATTTTTTAAAAAAAAACTATCTTATTTTACATACCAGTCCCAGTTCCTTCTCTCTCCCATACTCCCTGTCCCCCAGCTTCTCCCCATCCTACCCCCATCCACTCCTCAGAGAGGGTGAGGCCTCCCATGGGGAGTCAACACACTCTGTTACATCACTGGAGGCAGGACCAAGCCCCTGCCTATGTCCAGTCTTATAGAGGTGTTTTCTCCCTTGATGCTTCCTCGTCTCCAGTGACTCTAACTTATGTCAAGTTGACATAAAAATAGCCAGCACAGCCAGGAAGACACACACCTATAAAAATACTCTGGTACCCATAGTGTACCATTCTCCATGATCTGTTGGCATCTGGTGTTGGGGAATTGAATGCACCTGTACCCTATTGCTGCATAAAACTAAGCAGCTACCAAAACTTGACTATTAGCCACATTGGGAGGCATCTACCCAAAAGAACCTCCCTAGGAACCGCCCATTGCCACTTTATGCAAATCAACAGATGCCATTATGTCATGTGAAACTTCAGAGTTAACAAAGCCAAACGAGAGCAACACCGACCCATTGAAAATGTTTGGGACTATGTGAGTATAATATTACCAGGAGGTAATATTCTAAGTCCACAACATCTTTTTTTTTTTTTCCCGAGACAGGGTTTCTCTGTGGTTTTGGAGCCTGTCCTGGAACTAGCTCTTGTAGACCAGGCTGGTCTCGAACGCACAGAGATCCGCCTGCCTCTGCCTCCCAAGTGCTGGGATTAAAGGCGTGCGCCACCACCGCCTGGCAGCCCACAACATCTTGATGTTTAGTGATGAGGCTTTATGGCATGCACTCATAAGGACATACTAAATAGAGTAGTTTTACAATTGTCTTTCACAGAAATTGAACTGATTAATAATCATAGTAAATACCTTCCTGTAGCTGTATCAGATATAGTGTTTGACAAAGAACTTACGTCTAAAGAGTCCTCCTTCAATAGGATAAGGGCCATGTTCTGTGACACCAGCCGACAGGAATACCCTGAAATGGAGAAGGGACAACATGTGAACTTCATCCTTCCCGGGAATTCCTAATTCAGTGGCTGAGACTTCTCTTCTCTTCTGAAGATTTATTAAATTTTTATTTGTGTATGTGTGAGGGTTTGCACAAACAGGTGTGTAGTACCCAACATATGCACTTGAGTGAAAGCCAGAAAAGGGTTTCTGGGGTCCTCCCCAACCACCGTCTTCCCATTTCCTTGAGACAGGCTCTTCCCCTGAATAAGGAAAGGAGCCCATGTTTTCTCAGTTGGACTGGAAGCTAATAAACCCCAGCCATCCTCCTGTCTCTGCCCCACTTGAAGCTGAGGTTACACGCATACTCAGAGATCCATCTCACAGTATGTCAACCTCGTCACTATTGGCTAGAGGACTAGGGGCATGAGCCTAGGCTCACAGTGGACCTTGTGACCAGCTTGGAGAGACAAAGCTGGGAAGGTCTTTATAACTAATGGCCAAAATAAGTGCTTGCCAATTTTCTGTGGATTTTTTTCTTTATCTTGGATATTCTGGAATAACATTAAGACAAACTTTGGTTTACCTAAAATAACAGCAAACAGATCACGGAGATGAATGGAATCTATGCCCCTAGTTAGCATGGCCACTGCACAAGCAAGATAACCGTTTTCTTACTAGAGCTGGCAATTCTCAGAAGTCTCAAGGAATACTAGCTAGCATACCAAGGGAGTCACGCTCCTGCCAAAAGATCAGCACAATAGCCATCTAAAGAAGGGAGCCTAACTTTAAGTAAATAAATAAAGATGTTTAAAACGAGAGAATTTTCAATTAGAATCAACAATGTCAATCTTGTTCTCAAACCAAACTATCTCTCACTAAGGATGGTTGACAAAGCCTCAAAGAATTGTATTACTTTATATTTACTTAAAGTTAAATTATATGCAATATATACAACATATGTCTACATATTAAAATGAAATTATGCATATTGGACTAATAATAGTCCCCAAGAGCCATAGACTGTCTAACAAAAACTCCAGTACCATGCATGAGAAAACTTTTGGACAGGCTAGGCCATGTGACTCCCCAAACAATCCAGGCTATTGCCACTGCCCTCGGCTGCCTCTCAGAGGCTGAAGGCAACTAAGTTCCTGTCGCTGAAGACCATACACTTCCAACACGAGACTCAGAAGATTCACGCTGGATCTAACATGAAAGCCTCTTTCCTGCAGTCTAGTTTCATAGGATCAGAAAATACCATGCAGGTTTCCATGTGGGCGACACAACCAACATTCCTCTCATGGTGAGCCCAATGAACCATTAACAATGACCAGAATGGCAAACTATCCTTAATGGTATAAGAATGGCGCTCATATCTCAGCAGTAACCAACGGTTGTCTGATTGGACTTACGGTCTACCTGATAGGATGGAGATCATGCCTGGTACAAAAAAACCTAGCTAACAACCTGGGGCTAGTGAGGTCATGATTCTTAGGGAAAAAAAAACCATTACCCATCACAGACACAAAACAGAACTCAAAGCAGACAGAAAGTAAGACCAAGAAAATCTGTTGTAGATTGATTTTTGGCTTTTTTGTCGACAACAAATATTTTCACTTGTTCATTTTGGAATGGACACCAGAACCTTCACTCGGGATTGCTATTTGTTTAAGAGAAATATTTGGTAAAGTGCCTCAGACAACAAATTACAAAGACAAACATAATGGCTTCCAATAAAAACATTACTTTTGAAACCATATCCAAAAGTTTATTAATTACACAAATAAGTAATTCGGAGTTTCTCAAGTAACATTGCTCTTAAAAGACCAAGCTAGTATAGAGTGAGCATTCCTTATTCCACAGGCCTGAGACTAGATATGTTTCAGATTTTCTTATTTTTAAGTATGCATATTCAAAACAAGCCTTAATTTTGAAATGTTTGCATAAATATTATTGGTTGAGCATTTCTAATTGAAGAGTCTAAAATACAAAATGCTTCAAAATCTAAAACTGATTAGTTTTGGATGTGGAAGCATTTCAGATTTTTTACTTATTTTAAATTGTTTTTATTGAGCTATCTATTTTTTCTCCGCTCCCCTTTCTTTCTCTCCCCTCCCCTTCTACCTTCTCCCATGATCACCATGCTCCCAATTTCCTCAGGAAATCTTGTCTTTTTCTACTTCCCATGTAGATTAGATCCATGTCTGTTTATCTTACGGTTCTCACTGTTGTCTAGGTTCTCTGGGATTGACAACTTATATTGGAGAAATTGTGGGGCAAAGGGAATACTCCTTCATAGCTGGTGGGAGTGCAAATTGGTACAGTATGGCTATTTCTCAGAAAATTAGAAAGCAAACTACCTCAAGATCCAGCAATACCTTTTTTGGGTATATACTCAGAATGCTCAATCATACTACAAGGACATGTGCTCAACTATGTTCATAGTAGCATTATTTGTCATAGCCAGAACCTGGAAACAACCCAAATGTCCCTCAACCAAGTAATGGATAAGGAAAATGTGGTACATTTACACGATGGAGTACTGCACAGTGAAAAAGAATGACATATTGAAATTTGTGGGCAAATGGATAGATCTAGAAAACATCATATTGAGTGAGATAACCCAGACCCAGAAAGACAAATATAACATGTACTCCTCAGAAGTGGCTTTTAGACACAAAGCAAAGAAAAACCAGCCTACAATTCACAATACTAGATTTTTCTTTTTAAATTTAGGATTAAGGTTTTCTAAGGTGTGCCAGGTCTCAGGCTCTTGACTTCTGCTCAGATCCTGCTATTGGAACTCCTTCAGCCAATAGCATTTAAGATACTGGCCTACATTGGGCGTGGTCTCATGTATTATATATGCAGAACAAAGGAGTGTATGGGGCTCTTTGGCTGCTGGCTTCAGTTCTGGTTCCCAGTACACTGCACAGGACTGCAGATGGCTACCAATTCTGTGAGTTTACCCCCTAATAAATAAACCTTTATTATATACATCATTCTGGGCTAGTGTAGGAATATTTCCTTTTGCAACAAAGATGTTAGCTAAGTAAAACAGGGATTAAAATTAATTTTCACTCAATTCATTTTAGCCAGATAAAGCAGTCTGTTTCTAGGATATTCTTAGCTGTTTTTTTTCCCCCTGAGTTGTCAGTAATTTAATATTTATAATTGCTTTTTAGATAGGGTCTCATGTAGCTCTGGCTGACCTGGAACTTATTATGTAGACCAGTCCAGTCTGAAAATCACAGAGATCCACCTGCCTCTGTTTCCAAAGCTCTGGTTTTAAAGGTGTGCTCCTCTCTGCTTACTATTTATATTCAGAAGAAGTAGAATGATCTCACCATTTCTCTGCTAGGCTAATGTTAGTGCTTCTGTACTGAATGTTTGGAAAGTAGTGTTCATAGGACTGCAATGTGATTGAAGTCAACAGTAGAATCTGTCAACAGATGTAGCAAATCTCACCCACCATAGCAACCATACTTGTGGCCACGTTTGTGGGCAGGATTATTTACAGACACTGTTTCTAATCTTTGGATGATGAGTTTTTAAGAAATTGGAGCCAGTTGACCTGTGAAGAGCATTTTAAGACTAGTATTATACCATTTTATGTATATGAGAGTTTGCCTGGATATATGTTTGTGCATCACATTAGTGTCTGGCCCCCAAAGAGGACAGACATGCTATCCAGTATTGCCTCCTAAGAAGTAACCTTAGTTTTGGGGCTTTTTTTTTCTTTCTCGTGTGTAAAACCAAATCTCATTTTATGTGTGTGTGTGTGTGTGTGTGTGTGTGTGTGTGTGTGTGTGTGTGTAAATCCTCATATCGGGAGCCACCTGGTATGTAGCAGAAAGGAGAAAAATTTTAGGAAAAAAATTACTTGTTCCCATACTTATTTTTATCTCTATGGTACCTTTTGTTAAATATATGTCTATATAAATAATATTTAAGTTTTCTACAATGAACAAGAAAGTTTCCTGCAGTAATCTTTGAAGTTTCCAAAAAGAAGATGGGGCCCCACAACAGTGATTACATCTGCCGATATGATGGCATTATGCTGATAACGCTGAGATTGGTTTTGGGTTACAAACTGCTTAAGATGATTCCAACTTGGCTAGCTGACATGGTGCACCTTCTTACAATGTTTTGGCCAGAAATTCAAATAAGAACTTCAGAAAAACCCTACCGACTACTCAGAGACTATCTGCAATTGTACCAGACACTAATCTTGAAACTTAGCCATGAATTTAGTTTTCCAGGATCCCATAAAAATAGCATCGCCCCATGACAGCTGGAAGTAATTCTAAAAGATAATGTCCTCTCTCCCAACAAAGTTTGTTCTCAGGGTTAGGGACATCTATTAGGGGTTGGTTATAAGTGGTATAGGATTGGGAGTGGAAATTAAGTAAGCTCTGGAATCTCTTTTTTAAAAAAGGAATTATATGGGATAATAGGTAGATTAGTGTGAATAAGTTCACACTAACAATAATAGTAACAGTGAGAATACTCGTGAGTTATTATTTATAGAAAATTTACATAGATTCTTGTATATTGATACAAATTCAAATTATATTTGTTATATTGAATATGATCCTATTTCTGTTTACAATATTTGCATACCTATGTAAAGTTATTTTGTCATATTGTATTATGTATGTTTTTACCTCTGCTTTTAAGATATTTTGTATATTGATGCAATTTTAGGATATATTTATCATACTGCACTATACATTTCTACCTCTGATCAAGATACTTATCCATTGTTTACATTTTGAGGTTATTGTCCTCATTTGCTGCATATTTGTTTAAAGATTGTTTAATATTTTAATATGAAGTCTTAGTTTTTAAGTTATATAGGTATTAAGAATTATAAGTCAATAGTCGTCTATGTTTGTTAGACCAATCAGGTTCTTTAGATGCATAGATATTGTATTCTGCATATATATGTAATCTTCAAACACTTCAAAAAACTATAGAATATGGCATTTAAATAACTTGGGATTCTGTTGATGTGAGACACGA